CTTACAATGTAAGAGAGAAGGGGATTACTTTACTGATGTGTAATCCCTTTCAGAGACTTCCTCCCCTACTCTTCTTTAGTTTCTCCCCCACCCCCTTGCTGCCCCTCTGTGTCTGTGTGAGGTTAACCACACAGACAGCACGGTAAAGGTTGCAATCACGCTCCCAGTGAACAGTTCACCAGACACACGTGTTCACATACTGAGCTTTAGGATGAGCCTGTCCTGGGCAGCGCAGGAGCCATCTTAACAAGAGGGCCCCCACTCCCCCCCAATCACGCTTCTTGTCCTACCCGGAGCCTGATTACAACCTACTGGCAAGCAGATTATAACCCCTCCCCCCCCGTTCAGTCCAACGCTTCCCCATTCCACAATCCTCTGCCGCAGCCAGTCACAGTCTGCACATCTGGGTCCTAATCAGACAATTCCAAAAATAGACAGACAATTGTGGGTCAAAATGGATGTGCAGATGGGAAGAGAAGGAAAGAGAGGCTAACAGGCATAAAGATGCAAACTGTAGGAGTGAAGAATGTAGGCTGATGTCACATAGCACATATTAAGTAGTCCAAACTTCACCACACATATTCTGACATGGTACTCAACATCTGGATTTAGTGACAGAGGGATTTGTTTGTATGACTGGACAGTCTGGCCACTGTGGTAGGACTAAAGTTTGACCTTTCATTATCATTAACCTGCTGCAAGGGAACAATTGACATACATGAGGAGCACTGCATGGTTTACCTGCATATAAATAGTGAAGAGATTTTCTGCCAGGAGAAAACATTGAACCAAAAGCACGGCAAAGTGAGAGCCTGATGCTGCAAGGTAAGGAGGAGAACATGAAGGGATGGTACATGGGAGAGAGGATTATTAATTAAAAATGAAAACAGCAAATCTGTTGAGGACAGGAATTAAGGGACAGAATACAGAGGGAAAAAAGAAAACAAAACAGAAATTCAGTTCTCCATTAACTGAAACTAAAAGGCAATTACTGATTTGGCAGAGTTTGAAATTATTAGCACAACAGTTATTTTTTTCCACAGAGAATGAGCTATAAGTTAATTAGAGGAAAATGACACAATAACAAATAAGTTAATGTTTTTTGTTGTTGAATAAACTGTATACTTTAACAGGTCCCTGCATGAATGCATTCATTAAATCAATTAATTCATTAGAGAAGAAAAGCATTTTTTTAAAGCCAGACTTATTTTCTCTCACAAAGTCCTCATTCATATTACTTAAAAGACTAAGTATTATAATATCTCTTTGCTTGAAAGCCAGTGTGGCATCCACAGGAAGTGCACACATCTCCTTACAACTTGATGCCATTAAAAAAAAAGCTCTGGTTGCTGTTTTCATTTGATAGAGAACAAACACACTGACAGAGTCAAATACCAAGGGCGCCTTGAGGTGGGCAGAGTAAGAAGATTTATGAGTGAGAAGATGAGAGATGTGCTGTTGAGGGAGGTGGAAATCCCTGCTCAAATCAAGAGCATCCCTGGATGACAGTGAGTGGCAAAGGGAGGAAACAACAGCACCCACGTTTACCCTTACCCTTCAAAACCACAACAGTTCGTAAACATTCAGTCTCACCGGCTGTTTCAACTATGACACAGTGGATAATTCAGTTCACAGACTATGGTCTAATCAGAGATCGTTTGCGAGCCTCATAATTATTTCTGTCTGCTGCCACTCAAATTACAGGCTGCAACCACATCGATAATCAGCATAAAAAGTCTGACATGGTCAGTCTTCATATTCAGCGAAGATCATTGTAATGTGTCAGGTTTATGCTTGCTGTAGCTTGCTTCTAAGCCCTTCTAGCCCTGAAAGTTGGACAAACATTGCAAAATTTTGCTGCTTTAACACACATTACATATTTCCATCGACTTTCCTGTATGGCCCTAACCTGCAACTTTCCAGCTCACACCGTATGGGGTCGATCAACATGTGGAGCTCAGACAGAATGCAAGCACAAATCCTCTGTGAGGGCTGTGTCCTCAGTATTGATGCAAACAGAGTAAGGTATCAGTACTCTGTGCAAATCCAGAGCTGCAATTGAAGGCCTGGCTTTAATGATTAATTAAACAATCATGACTGTCCTGTACTTGTCTCACTGGACATGTTTTAACTTATGAGTAAACAATTTAGAGCTTTACTATAGAACATTACTGACAACTGTTTTTATTGTATAATATTGTTTTCTAATTGATAATATGTTAGCACCAACTTAACTATTTAAGTAGCAGCTATGGACAATAAGTTTGTAGGTGGACATCAATAAGTACGTTAAAAAGTACATAGCAAAGACCGTGTTGAATCATACAGAGATTCCACTGGTTACTGGAAGTAGCGGCATATCCCTTCTTTACCTTAACACACCTGGAGTTCATAGACAAAATTTTTAAGCACACAAGGTCTGACACAATGAGATGTGATGGGTATATGGGTTGATTTCTCTGAAACTCACAAATGCACAGCCTAACGTTTAGAACCAGAACATTAAATCCTGAGAAATTCTAATAACCAGAAAGGGCAAACTATTTTAGCATTAATATATACACTCAGCAGTTGCTTTGTTAGTTAGACCTGTTCATATATATATATCAGGAAGTGGCATACACAAAACTTAACCACAGTAAAATTAAGAGTTATGCCACAAATATGTTCAATTTTATATAGAAATCAGAATTTACATTGTCTTTCGATATGCCAGAATGTGAAGTTTGAGAAACAAAAGATCACTCTGCACAGCGAAGGGTTCCTGCTGCAGAGCTCTGTGTTTATAGAAGAAAGAGTAAGGGGTGGGCAACTTTGCAGGGAGGTTCTAAGCTGCCCAACTAAAACAGTACTGGTATTTTCTGTGCTATTTTTCATTGGCTGAACATTTAATTTTATTGCTTTACTACTTTACTGGGTTGGCATGACGAAAAAATTTGGCTGGACTAAGCAGTGTATTTCTTTAAAATAACTCCACCAATAACTAACCTCACTGCAGCACACTGTAATGTTTGAATACTGGGAGGGATAAAAGAGCATCATAGAGCAAATGTCCTCAAGCAAACATGTTTCCTGAAGCATAGTTTAATTTACCTCAAGGTCACTGAACCTAAAGCACTATTTGTACCGTATGTTCACCAACACTGTATGAGATGTTTATAAATCAATACGGTTTAAATCAATAGTATGTTTGTATACAATAGCCAATATAATAAAAGAAATTATCCACAAAACCATATCCCACAAGGATATTCCCCAGCCGTTATGCTTTGGGTCAACAGTTTCATCACTACACATACCAACACCGATCTATTAAATGCGGTTGAAGCCTCAGTGTGAACTCATCCAACAAGGAAACCACAAGGTTCACCTTCAAAGGTTCAGCGAGTCATAAAGGATGTCATCTCTCTTCTCTTCTGTGCTAAAAAGATATCACATAAATCCAAGAAAATCTGAATTCAAATATACTCTTATATGAAATGCTTTTATATTAATAAAAATTTCTTGTCAAGAAAGCCTGGGAAGCAGGTACAGGATGAAACGAAGAAGGAAACGGAGTTGGGAAAAAGGGAATTTGCTTCAAGTACAGCACCTTAAAGTTGACCTGAATTGCAATATTGCAACACAGTCGGGATTTGAAGCATGTCTGTATGTGCTGCTTCCTTTAACCGTTATGTTTAAAGACATGCCGATTTTATACAGCTGGAAATCACTTTTAACTAGCACCTGCTACAAACTCAGTGAGTAGAAACTACAAAAACCACCTTTCTAATAAACCTGAGCATTTAACTACAAGGCAAAAAATGTTAGCATGATCAGTGAACTTAATGAGCATCCTCTTTCTAAATAATAACCTTTGAAAACAATTAACGCCTCAGGTTACCACATACTTTATAATAATTAGCGTGATGTAGCTGTGGAAATTGTTTTCTAACAATGCAGGTCTGTTGTAGCAAAAAAAACCAAAACATTGCCTTTCACACATTACAAGTGTCCACTGACGAGTCAGCTACAGTTAACTGAAAAGGAGGAGTGATGGCCTTAGTGCTGGCTGCTCATACCTTCTGTGTTCTGGCCCCAGCTGTGGGTTAGCAAAGAGAGGATTGCCATTCCTGTCCCCAGCCATCTGACGAGCCACCACCCCCGTCGCATCTTCCGTCAAGCCTTATTGCTTGCCCACCTGCACAAAACAAATCACCAGAAATAGTTTTTCATTCATTTGGTCAGTCAGTCTCTAAGTTACTTAAATGCACAGCTGAGACCGACCCATAGCCTAACATACATATGTATATCAATATATGTACAAACACAGGGCACTCCTTTCCCAAGCAGTTGATCTTGTTACCCAATACAGCATCCACGTAAAACATTACTGAAGTAGAGGCAAACTGCTATGACTAACATAAGAGCAGTGCTGTTCATTTTTCAGGAATTTCAAGGAAAACTAAATACAAACGTGCTTTTAATGTACTTAGAATACTGTGTCACTATAAGAGTGGTGTTTTAAAAGCTTGCCTCATTTCATCTTCAGCTTTTACAACTTTCATTTAATGGAATTTATTCCCTCTCCTATCGCTTTAAGCTGACCTTCTTCCTTCATTCTACTTCATGGAGCAAACCACCAACCTTTTAAAGCACCTTACTCTACAGAGAGTGAATACTTTTTACACATGAAGAAGAAAAAGAAAATCATGTAGCATGTAATAGCCTAACACTGCACACTGGATGAAAAAGAAGCCCCCGTGTTGTATCACAAATATTACAAACTGCAGTACAGACAACATGAGCTCAATATATTATGATGGTGCGTGGACTACTGGGGGATTTAAAGTAAATACACATATTCTGGATCTAGTGGAAATTACAAGCAAAGCAGTGCCTACAGATTATATGTTGAGCCTTGTTGTGCCACTCGCGCACCGTACCACAGCAAACAGCATTCACTCCGAGCTAAAGCAAGGTAAAGTGTCAGTATGAGGAATAGAAGGGTTCTATCTGTCTGTGCTATTTGATGTCACACCTCACTCACAAGGCTTATTCTCATTGCAGCTGATAAGCTGTGAAATCAGCTTTCATAGCATATGCTAAGGGGACAAGAGGGGGGTCACAAGCATCAACACTCTCATATCAAAGCACGCTTGACAAAGTCAAACCTCTAACTCACACTATCAGCACCTCTTTATTTGTAATGTTGATTTCCCTTTATTTTCACTCATTTTTGTCTTTCACTCACATTGGGAAGCACACCTTTACCTCTCACTTTCACACGAACCTGTGCAGACACGTATCTAAACACATTTTAAACAAACGCACCTGAACAATAGTTGTCTCCCACGAACACTCTCTGGACAGCCGGAGACTACTGTGGTCTCGTCTCTAATGGTGCAACAACAGGGGTGATTTCACACTGGTTTCCTATTCACTCACTGCTTTCTCATCTCTCTTGCTCCCAGTGGTGCTCCCTTTTGAAGCAGATTTGATTTCCCACATTCGTACATCTATCTTTCTTAAGAGGGCTGAGTAAGATTGCTTTGATCCCTTTCACATGAGAAAACCCAGACCTGCACAACCAGCCACCCTGAGGAGAGAAGTCATTTCTTTCGCAGCTTCTTCTTGGTTGACATGGGAACACAGTATCTAATTTACATATGCTAACAAGGATTCTCCAACTTTAATGAACAGGGAACCTGGAGAGATGCTGACCAAGTGGCGTAAAATGCCTCCAATACTCTGTTTACGCAGCAGTACTTTCATAGTGGTCCACAAGTGACATCATCAAGAGATTTCAAGGTTTTCAGCAACAATGCAACAAAAAAAAGCTCAAACAGAAACAGTTTATTTCCACTCTGCGCCACCTTGATGCATATCATGTCCCAGTAATTCAATCACAACTACCCCCGCAAGTTGCTGTAGAAATTTTTTAGATGTTTATACAGCATCTCTGCCATCCTCTCTCTTTGATGAAAAGTGATTAAACTTTTGGGGGAGGACAATAATGAGAAGATTACAATAGCGTGGGCAGAGTTGAATGAAGCAATCAGAGTTATGGATTACATAGATAGTGAAGATGTAGTTCTCTACTCCTCAGTGCAGGGGCTTTGCACTTCCTGAAAGGAAGAAAATGTGCTCGTCTCCGTTTTCTCCTCTGTTTGTGTTACTTTGATCGCCTCTCATCCAGAATAGAGTTGTTCCACCTCTTCCTGTTCATGTGCTTTGGTGCAGATCAGCTGCCAGAGATGTCAGTACTGAACAAGTCCTAAACACAACCCAGCATTGCTTCATCAAACTACAACAAATATAAACCAGTTTCAAAGTTATCCTTTATAGCAAAATGTTTAAAAACATTATATTAGAAAAATGGAAGTGTTCAATCAGGTTTTACTACTGAGACAGTCTGTATTAGAATCCCAGATGACGTTTAAATTTTCTTTAAGTGGTTCAGGTAATGTTTTGGTTTCTGCTGGTGACCTTATCTCCCCTTACTGTGTAATAAAGTGCGGATGCTTTTTTTTTTTTTTTGCTCTGTAAAGTTGGCTCCATGCATTTTTGGGGAGAATTAAACAAGATTGTTTACCTATTTAAGCATTTTCTTCTTTAAACCATCATGGTAGATTTGAAATACAACAATCAAGATTCATTAATGACTCAATAATGATGATGATGCAGACCATCATCATCATCATTAACCCAGAGACAGAAAAAAACTTTAGTACTGGCCAAATTGTCTGGTACCTTCTTGAAATGCACTGCCTAGCACAGAAATGCTAGAATGCTAGGAAGACCATTACTTTTGAGTCTCTAAAAATAAAAATAATGAATCAAAGTGTCTGTAGTTTTAATTTCCATTTTATATCATTCTAAACTGTCCAAACCTTTGTTCTGCATGAGCTGTTAAATTAAAGCAAAAGTCTGCCCTTAAATCACATCTTGACTGATTGACTGTAACGCCACCACAATGGATTTTAAAAGGCAAAATTACAAAACAAAAGAAGAAATTCAAACCTTTATAGACTCACTGTAGATTATTGTTGTTAATATGTATTTCTCTTTGTAGATACAAAAGGAAAGATAACACTTCTGTTCAATTTATTCTACATAAGCACATTTTGTAACAAACAAAATGATTTGATTATAGGTTGGTCACCAGTGGCAAAAAACAAATCATTGCCAATTTATATTCATTGTCTACTGTTTGCAGCAGAAAATACAAAAAAAAAAAATTTGTTCTTCCCTTTCACAATATACTGTTATGGAAAAAACATTTTGCTTCTGTCAAGAACAATTTTACAGTGCCATTGCAGTCTCTATAGCCTTTCCTATTATTATTTTTCAGTCTGACTAGGAAAGATGTGTGAAAGCTACACAAAAGCGAAAATTATAAGGAGAGGCTCCTCAATCTGGTGTTACTGAGGTGCATAATCACAATGGAGAAAGCTATATGAAAAGTAGATTACCTTAACTTAGAGTTCTGGCCCTATGCCCATTATCTTCCTAAAAGCTGTGCTTTTACCCGCATGATAAATGAACAAAGTGACAGCACAATTAAAGTTGTCCTCAAGCATAGTGTAATGGACTGGGTTACAACTTCTGTTGGAGGGACGCTACACTGGTGTCAGAAGTGAAAGTGAAGCTTTCGCCTCCAGAGTTATCTGTGCTCGTGCCGCCCTGACTCACGGCATCGGCTGTGGACGCTGGAGATTTTTGCGGGACTGTGCGGAATGCTTCCAATGGATTACTCCAAGATCAAGGGAGAACCTACAGCGGACACTCACGGACACGGCTACTCCGCCGGGGAACGGAGGTTCACGGAGCACAGAGAGCGGGTGAGCCAAATATGGCGACAGAAGCCAGCTTTGCATCCTCTCACCATTCGGGTGGCCGACAGAGCTCTTTGGGGACTCCTACAGCGACTGGGGGGGTGTGGAGAGAGACATGCCGATGTATAGAGGCACTTTCCACGCTTCCATGAAGACCCCCAGGTATGATGGCATGGCTGACTGGGAAGCTTTTCATGCACAATTTGAACTGTTTGCCAGGGCCGGTGGGTGGTCTGCTGAAGAGAAATCCCTGCAGCTACCTATGTGCCTTACTGGCGATGCCGTGTCTAGCTTGCTGCTTTTGAGCCCAGAGGGAGGGGGGATTATGATGCTTTGGTTTGGGCTCTGAAGAGGCGGTTCGGTTCTTGCTCTGCTCCAAGCCTGCTGCGCTCCGAACTGTGCAGCCGGGGGAGTCCATTAGGGACCTAGCTAATGACATTGAGGGGCTGGTCCACCGCACCTATGCCCACATGCCCCCCACCATCCAGGGCAAATTAGCTTGTGACCACTTCCTCCAGGCCCTGCTTCTGGATGAGCTGCGGATCCAGACATTGTTAGCTCATCCTAAATCCCTTCAGGAGTCCCTGGAGCTGGCTACAGAGAGAGAGTTACTGTGTGATGGGGCTGGCCCTTGAATAAGGTGACAAAGAAGGACCCATATCCTCTACCGCGTATAGATAAGACCCTTGACCCTGTGGCGGGATCCTCATGGTTCTCCTCCCTAGACCTACACAGCGGGTACTGGCAGATACCCCTCGCACCAAATGCCAGACCAAAGACTGCATTTATTACCAGCGGAGGCTTATGGCAATTTAAAGTTCTTCCTTTCAGTCTCTGCAATGCCCCTGCCACATTTGAGAGACTCATGGATAAGGTGCTCACTGGAATTCCCCACGGAGAATGCGTGGTGTACCTGGACAACATCTTGGTCCATGGTGCTTCTTTCCACGCTGCCCTTGGGGCCCTCAGACAGGTCCTGGAGAGGGTATTGGCAGCAGGACTAAAACTCAACCCAAAGAAATGCTGCTTAATGCGACGTGAGGTCACGTTCCTGGGCCACCGACTGGGGGGCGGGGGGGTCGGCACCATGGATGATAAGATCCAAGCTGTGAAGGACTGGCCCACCCCAAAATCTGTGCACAAGTTAAAGAGCTTCCTGGGCTTGGCATCGTACCACAGACGGTTTGTAAGGGGTTTTTCCTGCATAGCCGCGCCACTGTTCCACCTGTTCCATAAGAGTGTGACCTTCAAGTGGACAGCAGGCTGCCAGGGATCTTTCACCTCATTGCAGAAAGCCCTACCGGGGGCCCCAGTGCTCTCTTCACCTGACCCCCCTCTGCCCTTTGTCCTTGACACAGATGCC